AGGGTCTCAACTGCTTCCGCTCTAAAGCCAAATGTGGTTCAGATTTGTGAGAAGAAGCGCTGTCAAGTCTCTGGCAGCAAGAAGTAGGCAAAAGATGCCCTGTTCAGAAGAACTGTTCATAATCTTCACTCAATGTTCTATTAATGTTCAGGACACTTCATGTTCAGAAGAAATAATTAAAACTGTTAATAATGACATTTGAGGACTTTTTTTTGTGAAATCCCTTATGCGGCCCAGCCTCACCCAGACTTTGCCTCCTGCGGCCCCCAGGTAAATTGAGTTTGAGACCCCTGCATTAAACCAAGGTCCTGACTCTCTGTGATCACTAAAAAATCCCATGGCACTTCTCATAACCCTCAATCGGCCCTTACCCATCATGGCCTCCAATCATCCCCATCTAGCGAATTGGCTCTATCACTGTCTCTCCACTCCACCAATACTGGTGTGTGGTGAGTGCACTGGCACTGTTGTCCTGTGGCTGCCGTCACATCATCTAAGTGGATGCTGCACACTGGTGGTGGTGTGGAGAGACCCCCATCATGATTGTGAAGAGCTTTGGGTGTATGGCAATCCACAATAAATGCGCTAAATAAAAATACACATTGCATTACAATATAAAAACAGCTTAGCACTTGAGTAAAATGAATTGAACTGGTTCATATAAAGTTTGGATCTTAGAAGAGAGTTCCTATTGCAATAAAACAAACATTTAACAAATAGTTTCTGAATACGTGGAATAATAGTAATAATCCATAATAAACATATTCACAAACAAAACAAACTGTAATTTAGTTTTCCATTTTTAGCTTCTCTGTTCTGTTTTAATGTTGACTTTGCACCTCCACATATTATGACAGTGATCATTCTAGGCACTGCCCAAATTCAGATTTGAGGTATTCAAATCTTAAAATAGAATTTGGCAGTCTCTCAGTCTTCTTTGTCAGCTGTGTACAGTTATGTCTTGGTTTAGGGAAGAAGAAAAAAATGCAGGAAAATTAGCTAAAAATTGCTGCTTAAATGAATGCATGAATGCTGTGACTTTGGCCACTAATGAAAAAAACACACTCACGCGTCTGATCACATGTCTTTATTCAACATCCTCTGTCACATGCAAACCTTTTTACTGATTCTGCATGCCTCCACACACACTGGCCATAAAGTCATTGATTATCACTGAAGAGAGGAAACAGTGGATGTCTTTCACAGTCAAAGTAAAAATGCCTGATAAAAAGGAGCACAAACCAAGTTTTTAACATGATTAGTGTTTTTAATCATTATACTAATATAACATGCAGACACATAAACACGTTACATTATACGGATATCATACAGATAAAGATAAAGTTTCATTCTTGCTTTCAATTATGTCTGCTAAATAATTACACACATGCATCTGTGGCCTTTTGAGAATAGGACATTCAGGCTGTGGTCATGTGTGCTTTATTTTATAGGACTTTTTTTGAGAAAATTTGGTCATTACATTTTAATATAAATAATATATGAAATACTGACTTGGGGGCGAGGCAGTGGCGCAGTAGGTAGTGCCGTTGCCTCACAGCAAGAAGGTCACTGGTTCGAGCCTCGGCTGGGTCAGTTGGCATTTCTGTGTGTCAGTTGGCATTTCTGCATTTCATGAGTTGGCATGTTCTCCCTGCGTTCGCATGGGTTTCCTCCGGGTGCTGCAGCACAGGTTAATTGGGTAGGTTAAATTGTCCATAATGTGTGAGTGTGAATGAGTGTGTATGGGTGTTTTCCAGAGATGAGTTGCAGCTGGAAGGGCATTCGCTGTGTAAAACATATGGTGGATAAGTTGGCTGTTCATTCTGCTGTGGTGACCCCGGATTAATAAAGTAACTAAGCTGAAAAGAAAATGAATGAATGAATGAACACACTGACTTGGAGTTGGATGGTGATTTATTTATACATGCACAAAGGGGTGGACTGGCCATCTGGCGATTCTAGCAATTTAAAGAAGGGCCAGGTCACTTTTTAAATGTAGTAAATGTATGCCATTTTTTACAATTATTTTTTATATGTAGTGTTTTTACATGCAGGCAGTTTTTATCTCTTGCAAGATGAATATCATAATGATGATGATGATGATAGAAATAATAATAATAGTAATAATAATAAATGTTAAGCATTGGCCCAATCTGCAATGGCCGGCTGGTTTCGAGATGGGCCGGCCCAATCAGAGGTTACACGAACGTAATCAATATCTGGCAAGAAAGTCAAACAAACAGTAAGTGCAACACAAGCTAATTGTCAGAGATGGATCGTAAAAAAAGAAAGGCAGTGCTAAAAAGCTCAGAGAAAGAAAAAATTGCTCTAAAATCAGACGCTGCCAAATGCATAAAATTAACCAAAATAGTCTCGAAAGGGGGCAGCGCAGTGGGTAGCACTGTCGCCTTACAGCAAGAAGGTCAATGGTTCAAGCCTCGGCTGGGTCAATTGGTGTTTCTTTGTGGAGTTTGCAAGTTCGTGATATGGTACTGCTTATATTATTTCATCATCTGTACACCAATATAAGAAGTGAATGTGCATGTCTGTGAATAGGGCTGTGTCAGTGTGCTAATGTGGCAACTTATCCAGCATATGTTTTACGCAGGAAATGCCCTTCCAGCTGCAACCCATCACTGGGGAACACCCATACACTATCATTCACACACATACACTACGGACAATTTTAGCTTACTCAACTGTACCGCATGTCTTTTGACTGTGGGGGAAACTGGAGCACCCAGAGGAAACCCGCACAAACGCAGGGAGAACATGCAAACTTCACACAGAAATGCCAACGAACCCAGCCGAGGTTCAAACCAGCAACCTTCTTGCTGTGAGGCAACAGCACTACCTACTGCGCCACCTTGTCGTCCAGTTTATTTTCAAATAATACACTTTTTTCATTTATAAATGTCTCTATATTATTTTATTAATAAATTATTTAGTTTTTATTTATTAGGTTAGTCATGGTCATGTTAATAATGTTTTCACAGGTCTTTTCCATTTTTTTTCAGTAAATGGAATAAAGAATACACCATATAAAACTATTTGTATTAGACAAGTAAGGCCATTCACACAAACTAAGAAAATCAAAAACTCTTCTCTACTATGCACCTGACACTTTATTTAAACTCCATTTTACAAGAACTCAATGATGAAAATGATGTTTACCACAATCATGTTGCACTGCTTGCTTCAACCTTAAATAACTCTTGCACAGTATTAAAACTTTAAATACCTCTTTTGCACAATATTCACCTTTAAAACCTCTCATGCAATATCCTGGTGCTCACTGGCTGCTTCACGTGTACACGCGTCAAGCAACTGAAGCAGAACTTGAAGGTAAACAAATAGCAGTTTTTCATAAACATTTAATTGATCATTTTTTTTCACAGATGACATTAGGAACATAGAAACATTATCTGACCAACATCTAGCAGCTAAATGGGTCTGGAAAACTATTCAAAGGTTTTTTATTTTCATAAACAGCATGGATGTGAATAATGTTCTGATTAGCTGGAGTAGAAGTCTTACAGTGCATTCTAAACGTGAATGCTCTCTTTCCGGCAATTTTCCTTTTGCATTCACACAGCGCAGCATTCCGACAAATTATCAGTAACGTTACAACTTCTCTTTCTGGAAAATTGCAGTAATGAATTTACCAGTTATTTCAAAAAGGACCTGTTAACACATGATCTGTAGGTCTGTGGGCTATGAGTGAAAGGGGCTAATGTCTCATGTAAAAGTACTTGTGTAGCTTATGTATATGTAACGGAGGCCAGCTAGTGCTGTGCAAGTAAACCTCTCTCCTCTGACATCTAAAGGTGCTCTAGCGACAGATGCTAGAGGCCATGATCTTTAGCCTCCTTGTTAGAGCAACTGACTCCCATGTGGAAGATCACCATTCGATCCCAGCTAGGAGCGAGTTGGGTGGTGTAGGACCAGAGGTGTTACATATATAGTTATGTATCTTATTGGCCTTATTCTAAAATGCGGAAGTGCGCCTGTTTTCGCGATTGTCTTAAAACTTCCGTTTCAGTCGCCTATGGGAGAAATGACAAGGAATAATAAACGGCAAAAAACGGTCAAACTACTTGCTCTACAAACAAATGTTTGCATGACTATACAGACCAAGTAGAATAATATAACAAGGAAATATCAGTTTGCAACATCAAACAGCGAAACGAGCAGTTTTTAATGTCTAAAAATGAATGGAAGGGAATGAGACCGGAAGTCTCGTGCCAAAAAGATTCAAATGGCAGCGCCCGCTCGTCTGCGGAGAATAAGATCAATAGTAGGCCTATATGTTAGTTATGCATAGCTCTTTTTTTAAAAATAGCTCTTCTGCTAGTGTTAAGTTTGTATTTATTAATTGACTTAATGAACTCAAAAAATTACGTTTTCTGTTTGTTTAAACAATTTATATAAAATTAGCTGAAACAACCCAATTCTTGACAGTTTTTTATTTATTTTTTTTTTTTTTGGAGAGGAGGGACAGCTTCTTTTGTGTAAACACAATTCTTGGGGTTTTGGCGGGACAACTTAATTGTTTTATGTTCAATCCACTTAAATTTGTAAATAATAATAATATTAATAATAAATAAATAAATAAATAAATAAATAAATAAATAAATAAATAAAAACTAAGAAGTTACATTTGCTTTGCTTTATGTTTCCCTTGTGTGGAACCCAGCATTTGTTAGCCTATTTTCTCACAACCACACAGTAGTTAATTTATTTAATTTTTAATTTTTTAATTTTTTTGTAATCGACTAACTATAACAACTCGCAATTTCAGTTGACCACGGCATATTTACAGCTCCTCAATAAACTAATAATTGTTTAGTTAATATATAAGTTAACTGTGAAATGTATGTGTGAACAAAGCACACTTCTCTCTTTACATCAAGCTAGGCTAGGAGGCTACATGAAACCAGGTGGAACTAAAAACAGACACCGTAAGACACGTCAGCTGAACTATACGGACACATTTCACCGACGCACCACCCCGGCTTCCTTCTCATTCTAGCAGTCAGGTGTATTTACTGCGCTTCCTTGCGCCTTGTAAACATTAGGTATATTACATATCTGTGTGGATATTTTTTGTCTCAGCAAAGTGCTGCTCATTTGCCGTCAGTGAGTTTTTTCGTCATTCATGTAAAGCTTTTACTCATTGATTCACTGATGTCTTGATTTGTCATGTGGTTTGTCATCATAGTGCAAGGTAATCATGAATCAGTATAATTTACCATCCCATGCTTGTGTCATCCTCTTGTTCTAAGCGTGTATGTTGTTATTAAGGATTATCTGGCACGAACTGTTATCTGTTGACGTTTATAAGAATTAAGACAAGCTGCATTTTTCTTGTTTTCTTCCTCGTTTTATGTGTTTTGGCTGGTTTGATGTCAGAGAGCCTATTTTGGGTTGAGTAAGTTATATATTGTTCTCAAGTTTCGGTGAACATCTTAAATGAAAATATCTAAGGTTACACTTAAATTATTTTACATCAAGCTTTCTACAGCTTAAGAATGAAAACTGCTATTTTGTGATGGTTTAATGGCAGGGAGCTTCTGTAGTTTTTTTTCTGTAGTTCTGGGAGTTTCTTATAAAAATAACCTTGAATAAATGTCTAAAACAGCATCTCTTAACTGCTAAAATTCATATTCTTTAGGTTTATGTGATGTAAGAATCATGACAGTTGTTGGTCCCACTTCATATCAGGTGGCCTTAACTACTATGTACTTGCTTCAGAAAGTAAATATGATGTACTGTGTTCATGATGTATTGCAGAACATTTCTGGTGCTCTAGAGACAGGTTTGGTGGTATGGCTTGCTTTAACGGTGTTAATCAAATACAGATGTAACTGCATGCAGGTATTTAGTTAATCTTGGGTTCAAGGCAAGAACATGTGTTTACACAATAACATTGTAACAAATGATTCATTTCAGTGTAAGTACATATTAGTTAAGATCACTTTATATAAAGTGGGACCCAGTTGTTTTTTCTTTTACGTGTATCGTTAAGTGTTCTGATGCCAGGTATTTTCCCTATACTTCTTAGTTTTAAATATTCAGCATTATCTACACGTTTTCTACTCCCCATGATGGTGCTTTGCTTAAATTATTGGACTAACTTTGTTATAACCTGCATCTAATCTGCTACAATATTACAGATGTATATTGAATATTATTGTACTGTAAGAGATACAGCGGGCACAAAAAATTGATCTTGAGAAACAAAACGCAGTGATCTCAAAATAACTTTTGTCACAGATATGCTGCTTATGATAGTCACATTAAAATTATATTTGAAATATATATATATATATATGTATATATATATATATATAAATATATATATATATATATATATATATATATATATGTGTATATGTATATGTGTGTGTGGGCGTGCATGCAAGTGTGTGTGTATGTGCTGGTTATATAATTTAGAATATCGTCAAAAAGTTGATTTATTTCACTAATTCAATTTAAGATGTAAAACTTGTATAATGGTGTTTATTTCTTTTAATTTTGATATTTTTTTATGACAACTAATTAAAACCCCAAGTTTAGTATCTCAGAAAATGAGAATATTGTCAAAAGGTTCATACTGAAGACACCTGGTGCCACACTCTAATCCGCTAATTAACTTAAAATACCTGCAAAGCCCTTTAAATGGTTTCTCAATTTAGTTCTGTAGGTTACACAATCATGGGGAAGACCGCAAATTTGACAGTTTTCTAAAAGACAATCATTGACACCTTGCACAAGGAGGGCAAGACACAAAAGGTTATTGCAAAAGAGGCTGGTTATTCACAGAGCTCTGTGTCCAATAAGGGTGTCACGATCCTCCAAATCCTCGATTCGATTACATTTTCGATTCTAAAGGCATGATTTGATTCGATTTTCGATTATGAATAATTAATTAATTAATGACCAATTAATTATTTGTAGCCTACCGTTTAAACTACCTGACCTGGATGGTCTTTGTTTTACCCATAAACAAATCATACAGTAAATGAATAAAGGCAAGATGCACATAATTACCACCCGTCAATCACTTTTTCTGCGAGACTCGTGAATAGGCAGTGATCTGTGTCGTTATAATGGCGTCGGTAAAAAAGACGCACAACCAACAGGAACCAGCCAACAGTATCTAAGGTGTTCGCTAAAATGACTAAGTACAAGTGAGTGAAAGATTGAAGCAGTCCTCTGACTGCCTGGACCTGCTCTCTTGAGCGCATGGCTGTGAGTGCGTCTGTGTCTGTGTGGTCACGTGATGTGCATTTTCAGAGGTAGAGTGGAAGGAGGGCTGCTCAGAAATGCTACACGCCACTGTGGATGTCAAATCGTTGTCGATTTTTAAAATCTAAAATGCCATTTAAAAACAAAGACAGTGTAAACAGGGCCTGAGTGTGTACTTTTCGCGAGCGGATTTGCAACGGGGGCGGGCGGAGGATCGCTATGCCGGTGTTGTCTATCGGACGAACCGTACGTAATACGTACATAACAGAGCTTGCAAAACTGTGTTTTTTTTGTCGACAACATGAACGTTTTTTGTCGACAACATGAACGTTGTCAACATAACTCACTGGAAATCCAAAATGCTTACACACCGGCGACTTCATTGAAAGAGGAGAGGGTTTAAGTTCTGTCCGGGTCTCCTGCTTCTGCAGTTTAACAAGCACTTCAACAAGCCTGTTATTTTTCCGCTTGGCAAGCCAAGCTGACGTGACATGGGGGCGTGGCAGCATCGACGATTCTATTTTTTGATTCGATAATCAAAATTGAGCATAAATTTCGATCGATTTCGATTAAAAATCGAATTTATGTTCTTGGACACTAGGGGTGTCACGATTTCGATTAAAAATCGAAATCGTGACACCCCTAGTGTCCAAGAACATAAATGGAGGCAAATGGAAGTAAAAAATGTGGTATAGAAAAAGACGAGCACTAGGGATAACTGCACCCTGTACTCCTGAAGAGAATTGTGAAACAAACCCCAGTCAAAGATGTGGGTGAGATTCACAAAGAGTGGACTGCAGCTGGAGTCAGTGCTTCAAGAGCCATAGATGTTTGCAAGACGTGTTTAAATTGTTGTATTCCTTGTGTCAAGCCCCTTTTGAACAACCAACAGCATCAGAAGCGTCTCACCTGGGATAAAGACTGGACTGCTGCTGATACTCTAAAGTTTTGTTCTCTGATGAAAGTAAATTTAGCATTCTCTTTGGAAATCAGGGTCCATAGTCAGGAGGAAGATAGGAGAGGCACACAATGCTTAAAGTCCAGAGCAAAGTTTCCACAGTCAATGCTTGTTTGGGGTGCCATGTCATCTGCTGGTGTTGCTTCGCTGTTTTTCCTGAAGTCCAAGGTCGATGCAGCTCTATACCAGGACATTTTAGAGCACTCTATGCTTCCTGCTGCTGGTCAATTTTATGGAGGTGCAAAATTAATTTTCCAACAGGACTTTGCACTTGCACACAGTGCCAAAGCTACCAGTACCTGGTTTGAGGACAATGGTATCTTTGTTCTTAATTGGCTACCAAACTCGCCTGAACTTAACCCAATATATGGGATATTGTGAAGAGAAAGATGCTATATGCCAGACCCAACAATGCAGAAGCGCTAAAGGCCACTATCAGAGCAACCTGAGCTCTCATAACACCTGAGCAGTGCCACAGACTGATTGACTCCCTGCCACACTGCATTACTGCAGTAATTCAGGCAAAATGAGCCCCAGCTAAATATTGAGTGCTTTGCATTCTCATACTTTTTATGTTCATACTTTTTAGTTGGCCTAGATTTTAAAACAAATATTTCTTTTTATTAGGCTTAAGTAATACTATAATTTTCTGAGATGCTGAATTTGGGGTTTTCATTAGTTGTCATCAAAATCATCAAAATTAAAATAGATAATTTTGATGATTTTGAAATAATGAGTGCTCTTGTTTATTATCATTTCTTTTTAAGGTCTGAGGTAAATTATCCATCATTTTTTATTAAATGGCTTATAATGTCATGAAAAAAATTTATTCCAGCACAAACTATTTTATTATTATGCAAAGCACAATAAAACCTTATTTTCCATTCATTCTGTTTAATTAAGAAATTCATCCTTTTAGTCAGTGAAAGTCAAGAAAAATTCATTGAACTTGGCTAAGCGTGGGAACTCTGAAAGCCAGACATCTCACTTAGTTTTTATTATGGATATGCATCATTTGTTGTGTGACCTAATTATTTGACAAGATTTTATTTCAGTTGTTTTGAATGAAAGTTCCCCTAACAGAAACGCAGGTTTATTTTTCATCATCTTTTGTCCTTTCAGGTGTTTTGAGGCCATATCTGGATTGATGCCCGGCAGATTAAGATGGAACTGTCTGAATCTCTCACACACAAGAACGGGAGGCAGCGGAAGCCTGTGCTGCTCAACATGGGGGAAAGAGAGTCCAAGCTAGAAGTTGGGGGAGATGAAGAGGCTCTTCTTCCAAACTCTGACAGAGCCGATGGACGAACGCAAACACACAAAGGGATTAAAGGAGAACTGGGCAATGTGTCCCTGTTATTGTTCCTGTATGTGCTTCAGGGCATTCCTTTAGGCTTGGCTGGCAGCATTCCTCTCATCATGCAGAGTAAGAATGTCAGCTATAAAGACCAGGCCTATTTCAGCTTCGTCTTTTGGCCCTTCAGTCTAAAGTTGTTCTGGGCTCCTCTGGTGGACTCTGTGTATCTCAAGCAGTTTGGCAGGAGGAAGTCCTGGCTGGTTCCTACTCAGTACCTGCTTGGTCTTTTTATGCTGTATCTGTCATTGACCGTTGACTCCATGCTTCAGACGGATGGACAGAAGGGGCCGGATGTGATTACTTTAACCGCAGTCTTCTTCTTGCTGGCTTTCCTCGCAGCCACGCAGGACATTGCCGTTGATGGCTGGGCTTTGACTATGCTGTCCAGGGAAAATGTGGGTTATGCTTCCACTTGTAACTCTGTGGGTCAGACGGCAGGATACTTCCTGGGAAATGTGCTGTTTCTGGCTCTGGAGTCGGCTGATTTCTGCAACAAGTATTTGAGGTTTGAGCCTCAGGAACGGGGAATTGTTACACTCTCAGGTATGTTTAAGGGATGTAAAAATGTTCTTGAAATGCACCTCTGATGTTCGTCACGGCAGCATTAATTTTAATCACAATACAGTAATACTGACATTTTGGAAAATATTATTACAATAGAAAGAACTGCTTTCTGTTTCAAAAACAATCATATATTTCTGTGATGACAAAGCTGAATTTTCAGCAGCGATTACTCGCATGGTTAATGGCACATGATTATTGGAATTTGTTGATTTCTTTCTAAAGAAAGAAAGAATAATAATAATTATTATTATTATTAATATTATTTTGATGAGAGTTTTCGAGAGGAAAATATTGATGAACCACATATTTAATTTGGTGTTTGTATGAAAAAAAAATACATTTTATAATAAAAATTGCAGTAAATACACTTAGAATAAAAAAATAATAATAATGTGTATCTTCTTAAATTAACTCTGTTCTTAAATAATAATTCAAAATGACTTCTTGTAGCAACTTTTTATTTATTTATTCATTAATAATAAAATAAACCATCATTGAGTACCAATAACCATTAAATTTTACTCACCATCAGGTGGTTCCAAAACTTTGAGATATTTTTTTTGTTTGTTTGTTTAACAGATTGTAAAAAATAATGTTGGGGACTGGATAGGACTGACATCCACAGTACAAAAAACTATGGAAGTCAATGACTATCTGTTTCCAAATTCTTTTTTTTTTCAACAGAACGAAGAAAACTCAAACATGTTTGAAACAAATAGAGTGTGCCTAAATGACAGGATTTTCCTTTTTGGGTGAATGTTCCCTTCACAGGGGACCTATTATGCAAAAATCACTTTCATAAGTGGTTTAAATGTGTGAAAATAGCCTCTAATGGTAAAAATTAATTGTATGTATATTATTGACATCAGAGGGGAAATGTCTACCTATTAGCATAGACAGACCTTAAGGAGAAGCAGTGGTTCGTAGTTATGCTGTGTTTACACCAGACATGGCACACCTGAACAAATAACGCTATTCGCCCATAAATAGACACATAAACATTTTGAGTTCACTCACTTCACTCGCCAGCTAACAGCTGTTAGACTTAACATTCACATGGACATAACACTCATGATACTTTACCTGCGTCTGGTTTGAACGCACCATTAGAGTTTTCACGCCAAACTTGCTCAAGATACTGTCAGCGACTATAAATGTGGAGGTTTAGGATGCACAAATGAACACCGGATTCTCCATAGACTGCCTTCTCAACCACTTGACAATTTGAAAAGAGCCCCCTTTTGAAAAGAAGTCAGTCAAAGTTACTGTAGTCATCAAAAATGGCACAATTTGGATTAGGACTGCACAAAATATATTGTTTGAGTATCAAAATCACAATGTGTGCGTCTGCAACAGTCACATCGCAACACATGCAGTGGCGAGTTAGGATTATAGATGGACCGAAACCACTGGTCAAAACACAAGATTTGTGGAGACACTGCGAAATTGAACCTACGGAAACTACGACTGTAGTTTATATACATAAATAAAAATTACAGAATATATATTTATCTTTCACTCCCCCTCAAAACCATTCCAAGTAATGACCTAGCAAATAGAGCTAATTTAGTCATCTGTTGAAATAATATTGCAATATATATTGCAGAGAAAAAAAAATATCACAATGTAAAATGTTTGGAATATTGTGCAGCCCTAATTTGGATCAATACCAAAAAAGGTTTAGTTTAGAGAGTTCTAAAAAATATCTTTGGGGTATTTTGAGATTAATCTTTATGTACACACTTTAGGGACATTAGAAACTTATCTTAAAGATCTGGAAAAAAGGGCAAAATAAGTCCCCTTTAATATCAAGGCATATTAGAATGATTGCTGAAGAAGTTTGTGATTCTGTGCTGCTAATGCTGAAATTGTAATATTATTTAACCATAATAATAATTAATCATATTTAGTTTTCCATCTCTTTTTTTAAATTTAAAGGCATGCAGCCTTGAGCATAAGAGACTCTCTTTAAAAAACATAAAACCTTTATCTAAATGTTTGACTTTATTTTCAATATTACGTAGACCTCTATAAATGTAATCTTGTGAGCAGGTTTACTGATACTTTGAACTTTGTTCTGTTCTGCTGTGTCTCAGATTTCTTGTTTTTCTGGGGGATTGTGTTTATGGTGTCCACCACTCTGGTCGCTGTCCTGAAGAAGGAAAATGGCAAACCCCATCCCGCTAAGAAGAAGCCCAAAGAGGAGACACAGGGTGTGAAGGAGACTTACAAACTTCTGTTTTCCATCATTAAAATGCCCACCGTCTTTACTTTCTGTGCCCTACTACTGACTGCTAAGGTAACATCAGTTTTCTGAGCCTCATTATAGGCAACTTTCTGTTTGAACTGGATTAAATGCTGTTACTTGTTTACTTATGCAACAGGTATTTGAGCTTTGAGGCTTAGAAATGGGACATTGTAAGACATTTTAAACAGCTTATTTAATAAATAAATACACAATAATTAAGCTTTTTAAGATGTTTTTAAAAGAAATATCGGAAACTATTTTGACATCAGCATTTGTCACATTATCATAGTTTATTTACTAGAATAAAAAAAATGTTCAAAAACATAATAAGAACTCAATGTATCAAATATGAACAAATTGATCTTGATAACGTCAGATTACTTTGATGGAAAATATATTTAATGGATTACAATCAATCAAAAAATTATTCAGATAGCTGTTATATTCAATGTTTATAAAACTTTCAACAGCTTATAGTCACTGCTGTCAACCAGAACAGATATAATTTATGCAAAAAAATTATTTACTTTTCCATGCTAAAATTACATTATTTAGATTTTAGATTGTTTTTCCACATGCCTCATCATATGACCTTGCTCAATGAGCATTAGCAAATGGGTTGTGATTTCACCTGCTTTCTTTTGCTCATGCTTACAAAGTTATTGTCATCTCACACACAAGCCCCTCATTGGGCAATACTTATTATTGAACTCTGCCTTTAAAAAAAAACAACAACTACAATTTCAAAATTATCTTCAACCAGTCAAAGTGGCTAGTGGGAGTGACTGCCTAACCTGCCACAGCTAAAATCTACCCGCATTTGGCTGGTTGATGGGTGTTAATGTCAAGCCGTATGTATATGTATGTATGTATATGTATGTATGTATGTATGTATGTATGTATGTATGTATGTATGTATGTATGTATGTATGCGTGCGTGCGTGCGTGCGTGTTTGTTTGTTTGTTTGTCTGTCTATACTGTATCATTTTTAAATCATGTTTTTTCAAATTTAAATTTGAGTTAATTAATCCATTTGTTACACTCATAATGCCTATTAAATTTATTTTTAATATTTAATTTAAGCTCTATTTTAATAATATTTAAAGCACAAAAGCCTTTTTGTTTGCTTTTTTGTCAGTAAAAGTCAGCAAAAATCTGGAAATTTGACATTTTAGAGAATGTTGTTACAACAAACAGGTTTTTTTTTTTATAAGCGAAATTTATTCCTGTGATTGCAAAGATGAATTTCAGCAGTATTTTCTCTCATTATTAATGTCACATGATTATTCTAATAAACTGCCCACTGTCTTTTACTTTGTGCCTTTTTTCTACTCATTGATATTATATATAATTACTTATTTGAGTTTCATTATGGTCATCCTCCTGTTTTAACTGCTTTGATTGCTGTGACTTTGCAGTTCTGTGCAAATCAGTCTCTCATCGTCTGTTCTTTCAGGTGGGATTCTCCGCTGCAGATGCCGTGACGGGGCTGAAGTTAGTGGAAGCTGGAGTTCCAAAAGAGCAGCTAGCTCTGCTGGCAGTCCCAATGGTGCCTCTGCAGATCCTGCTGCCTCTGGTTATTAGTAAATACACAGCTGGCCCACGTCCACTCGACATTTTCTACAAGGCATTTCCGTTTAGGTACAAACTAAACCAACACACACACACACACACACACACACACAAACACACACAATCATTCGCTATGTTCCAAAGTTAAGAATTTTGATCTTTGACAAAGCAGCTGCGGTTTTGGGAAACATTGATAGTTCAGCCGCGAGTTATGTTGTTGTTTGGGAAACGCACATCAGAATAGCAAAAAATGTTTCTGAACACAGTCACCTTTTGCACCTTATAACGATGAGAGCGTCTAATTTTTATCAGCAGTTACTCACATCATCAAAGGACACAGGATTATTCTTAATTGGTTTTTTTTGGTGCTAAACATTTTCATTTCTTTTTATTAATGATGAATTCTTATAATCTTTGAGGAAAAGAAGACAAAATCACATCTTTCTCTCTTTTGATTTTCATCAAGGAATTAATTCAGCAATTGTGTTCCCATCACAGTTTATGCACATATTAATGGATTAAAAATTACTTAACTGAGTTGTTTTTTGCACATCTTTAACATTTATGAGCATATTAATGTTTGACTTCATTATGTGGTCTAGGCAAAATCCTGAAATGTGCATAAAACCCAGTGGATAGAAACAGGGTTACTGATTTCGACCAGCCTCATGTGTAATCATCAGTGGAGATGCATGGCTTTGTAAGAGTAACTGGATGCATGCTTTTCTGGTGTTCCTCAAAGGTTACTGATTGGTCTAGAATATGCCCTGCTGGTTTGGTGGACCCCAAGTGTTCGGCAGGAGGAGGGCTTTCCTGTCTATTACTATGCTGTTGTGCTTCTGAGCTATGCAGTACATCAGGTTAGTCTGCAATAGTCAGCAGAAATGCTGCTAATGCCTTCATTTGTGAGGCATTCAATCATTGTTACATCATTTGTGCATCATTATTATTCTTATTACTGTAGTTATACATTTATAATTAAATTATTATTACATATTTATGTTTATTAATGCATACATTTATAAAGTGATCATTTTTTTAAAGTGTACATTTTAAATTACATTTCGGCATCTTAATATGCTGATTTGCTGCACAAGTAACATTTATTATTATTTTTATTTTAGTTATTATTATTATTTTTATTATTGCTGTATTATTATTATTATTATTATATTGTTTACAGTTTTGTAAAAAAAAATCAGGTTTCATTGATCAATACAAGGTTTACAAGACTTTCATTGTTGTTATTGTTGTTATTATTATTATTATTATTATTATTATTATTATTATTATTATTATTATTATATTGTTTACAGTTTTTAAAAAAAATCAGGTTTCTTTGATCAATACAAGGTTTACAAGATTTTTATTATTATTATTATTATTATATTTTTATTACTTTACTTTACTGTCTAGTATCTAAAACTTGATATGATAGCAATAATAGTACTAATAAACTATTATTATTATATTTATTTATTTTATTATTAATAAAGACAATTCTATTTCCCAATATAACATTATTATTTAAGTTACTGAATACATTCCTATAAATGAATGAATAAATATATAAATAAATAATTAAATAAATAAATAAAATCCCGTTAACTGTATAATAATTTTTGTACATAATTTTTTTAGCTTCTGCTTATTGTGAAATGTCTTTGTCCACTAGGTGGCACTATACAGCATGTATGTTGCCTGCATGGCCTTTCATGCCAAGGTCAGTGACCCTGTGATTGGGGGCACCTACATGACCCTTCTGAACACTGTGACTAATCTAGGAGGGAATTGGCCCTCAACACTGGCTCTATGGCTGGTGGACCCACTCACCTCAAAAGAGTGTGACGGGGCCCCTGGACAGACGTGCAGCTCCATTGAAGAAGCAGGAGTAAGTGCTTTTATACCTTTTTCTGCACATGCCTACTGCGTTTTAAATTATGGGTTGCATTTCCGGCTTGGGGAAACTTTCTAATTAAAAGAACTGAATTTTTTTTTTTTTGTAAATCTGTGAAAAGTGAAAGGTGCATTAGCTAGGGGTTTAAACATGACATTAGTATCACATGACATCAATATCAAACGTAGATTTGTGACCAAAGCTCTTTTGAGATCACTGTGGTTTGTTCATCTGTTAGATGTCTTTAATAACTTTATTTTGACTTCTTTTTTTTTTTTTTAGATTGATTGAGATAATTTCGTAGGGCAGTGAATATGGTTAAATAATAAGAATCATTTTGGAAATAAATACAATGAAGCAATGATGCAATTAAAAACAAACTGTAGTTTATGGGTCACACTTTAAGGTTTCATTAGTTCAAGGGTACCCAAACTTTTTTGTGTGGGCCGAAGGTAAGTGTTCCAAACTATATTAAAGTTTCCATAATTTTTTTGAAAACATTACTTTAAATCATATTAAATAATGCAGTATAAAATGTAAAATTTCAGCAAGCATAATCAATCGCATTTATGACAGTGGAGTCTAATGCTGAATACACTAGTCAAGCAGAATCTGCCTTTGCCTTGATTTGTCCTCTATCCAGCGAGTGACAGTATGTATAGAACGCAGCACCACGAGTGGTTTTTAATGAAACGAAAAGAGCACATGTCACTCCCCTACTCACCCGTTTGCACTGACTGCCAGTTGCTGCTCGCATCAAATTCAAAGCTTTGATGTTTGCCTACAAAGCGACCTCTGGCTTTGCTCCTTCTTATCTGTTCTCACTTCTGCAGATTTATGTGCCCTCCAGAAACTTGCGTTCAGTGAATAAACATCGCCTCATGGTTCCATCCCAAAGAGGGAAGAAATCACTTTCCCGTACTCTCGCATTCAATCTGCCCAGTTGGTGGAATGAACTCCCTAACTGCATCAGAATGGCAGAGTCACTTGCTGTCTTCAAGAAATGACTAAAAACTCAACTATTTAGTCTTCCACTACCACTAACTGTACTCAAAAAAAAAATTCTCACATTACTAATGCTTTCCTTAGACTTTACACACCTGAAACTTGCCTACAGCACTTATTCATTGTTGCTCTTATAGTTGTGTAAATTGCTTCCTTGTCCTCATTTGTAAGTCGCTTTGGATAAAAGCATCTACTAAATGTAAATGTAAATGTATATTTAAACTAAATCTGATTCATTTACACCGCTTAATTTAAACATTTAATTTCAGTTAGCTTTTAACAATAAAACAAAAAAACAAAAGGTTACATTAGATTAGAAATGACTATCTAAACCACCCCCATTATTTTTCACATTCTCTTCTCAGATGGGATGGTGGGCCTTAGTTCGGGCATCTCTGCATTAGTTAATGCATTTACTAGTATTATCTAATTATGAACAATACTTGTACAGCATTTAATAATCAAAGTTCAACATTTACTAAAGTAGTATTAACATTCAAATTCATGCTTGGTAATAACACAGTGTTAACAAGCATAAACATAGTTCATGAACTAACAATGAACAACAGTATTGTCATTAATGGTGAAGGGAATTGGTTTGTAGTACTCAACTATAAGCAAGATCTTAACCAGTTTGTTTTTGTGTGTGTGTGTGTGTGTGTGTGTGTGTGTGTGTGTGTGTGTTGTCTTCAGCTCTGTGTCAGAGAAGGTGGTTCGTGTGTCACATCATTGGACGGTTACTATGTGGAGTCTGTGGTGTGCGTTCTGATTGGCCTCTGCTGGTGGATCTTCTTTGGGAAAAGAATGAAGCGCTTACAAGAAGAAAGTCCCTCTGCGTGGCATTGCAGGGTTGCTAAATAGCAATCTCGAATGAACTCTTCCTCTTGTTTTAAAGCTACTTCATGCCTCTCTTTCCCTCCTTGAGTGACTGCTTGTTTTCATCATACTACAGCAGGCCTGTAGAGAGGCTTTGAACTGAAATTGGTAAACACCTTGCTAGTAAATTATTAGCAAATATGTTCTATTTTTCAGGGTTTTATTGAAAAAAAATTGAAGAACTATAAAACTAGAAATGGCTCTAGCTTATGGTACATGATATGATACATGATAGAAATGTCATGACATTCACTGTTTGGTTGCCTCTTGAGTACTTGAGTTCCTGTGCCTTTTGCATTTCTGTTTCTAATGCAAGCGCCACCCTCAAAAACAATCAGCCTTCCGTTTCATAAATGATATATGTAAGACAAAGTAGTTACAAAATTAACTTTTCAGCTTTTTCCAGGAAAATCTTGATTCTAATTGAGCTCTTCTGGTGGGATGTTAATATTTATGAAGTGTTAAACATACCACATCATCAGTCAACCAGTTGGGAATGAAACTGGTTGATGTTCTACTACTAAAAATGGTTACAGAAGTAGAGGTGGTTATTTTAAGTACACTTGCCTTTAATGAAGGTATCAATTTAATAAGCAAGTGTATATGATATAATATAATATAATATAATATAATATAATATAATATAATATAATACAATATAATACAATTTAATCAATGGCCTGGAAAAATGTATTTTGCCATATTCTGTTTTCACTTGTATTGTCTTTGTTTATTTATTTTTTTTTATTTGCTGTTTTCCATGCATTTTACAGGCCAGTGCTTTAATGCCGATTGAGTGTGTGCTGCAGATTTTTCATGAAACCTTTTGGAATAACAAAGTTTGTTCCCCCAACCAAAATCCACATCAGTAAAATTAATCATTATGTTTTCTATGAAGCATTTAGACTTAAGAGCGAAGTCTATAATTTACCAGAGTAACAGCTGTTAATGGTCGACGTGGGTGTTTATCCAATCACCAGCACTTTTACTACAAGTTGGTATTTAGTGATTGTTGAATGTTTAGAGAATGATTTTCCCAAAAAATGATAATTCTTTTATTAATTACGTTGTATTATTATTTGGTTTTTATTTCTGAGTAAATCAACTCTTTAAAATACTGTACTGTAAAACGTTTCTTTGTTTTTATAATGCTGATTCTGTTGTTTTATATCATATAATGAAGGCAGGGCTTTAGGGAGAGGGATCTTGAGTGTTGTATATACTTTTAAACAGCAACAACAAACGTTTTTATTCATCATTCTTAAAGTCTATATAAATTAAAATAAAGGCAAATCTTCTGTACAACGCACAGAACACGTGCTTTGGTTATTTTAAGCAAATATATGCATGTAGAAAAGGTTTGCTTGTAAAACTAAAACGCGTTTTAACTGTTTTGTCCTAGTTGCTACCCGTTTATAGTGGGCGGAGTTTCATTTTGTAGTTTTTTTCCCTCTGTAAACAACATGCCGTCAGTTCCTGCAGATAATACAGACGATGCTAAACCCTCCAAAAATTTTGTTGCACTTTTATCAAACTTTGCTGACGATCATTTAACAGTTGTCCGGGTAAGTAGACTCGACCATGCGTGTCATTTCAATAAATTGTATAAACAGCCTGTATGATTCATGTTTTAAACGAGAAACTCGTGCATGCAATGTTATATTGTGCTATTTTATGTATTTGTTGTCCTTATGCCAACAGAGCATCAGCACATGTATTGGTCTCGCGGGGCTTCTCATAGTAGCCAGGAGCATCAGACTGGTACATGCACACACACACACGGGCGCGCGCGCATCCTAACAAATAATGTTGCCTAAACCAATGGGTCTCAACGTAGCGACCTTTTAACAATGTTGGGGGTTCTAAGTGGTTGTAGAAGGTTCTTACAATGCTGTCACAAAGTTGGCCGTAGTTTAGGCTGTCTGGACAACCACTGTATTACTTTTATAATGTTTTTAACTTATTGTTTTATATACTGATCTACTTTGATCATTTAAAGTGCTTTTTTATCCTTACTTGTAAGTCGCTTTGGATAAAACCATATGCTAAACATGTAACTGTAAATAATATAATATAGCCATTTCGGTCACACTTTACAATAAGGTTCATTAGTTAATGTTAATTAATGCATTAACTAACATGAACAAACAATGAACAATACATTTACTACTGTATTTGTTCATGTTACTTAACGTTAGTTAATTAAAATACAGTAGTTCATTGTTAGTTCATGTTAACTCATGGTGCATTATGTTAACAAGCATGGACTTGCATGTTTATAATGCATTGGTAAATGTTCAATTATGATTAATAAATTCTGTACGTGTGTTGTTCATGATTAGTTCATGTTAGTAAATGCATTAACTAACGAACCTTATTGTAAAGTGTTACCGCCATTTCCAGTTTGATATGAGTAGCAGTGTGATATTCGCACATTCGGACTTTCCCCTTAATAAAAGTATTATTTGCAAACTAAATTGCAAAATCATATTATCAGTGAATGACTATCAAAGTACAACATTGTTCACAGCCAAATAAACTGTGTTAATGTTGTTTTCAAGTCATACTTGCATGCTAAATCCGATTGAATATTCATAGTAACATGGTAAAACAATATAGAGACTTCTAAATGAACGAATGTGCGAATATAAACCAACTTTACCTCAATTAACAAGTTGTGATATGCAGCCATTTCACACTGCTACAAGTGCAATATTGCATTTATACTGTTCCCTACTGAAAAAAAATAAATAAATAAAAATATAAAAATCTTAATCCACCCTAAGCTGGGTTTAGCTGGTCGACCAGTCTGGTTTTAAAGGGGTTTTGGCCATTTCCAGCTTAGTTTCCAGGCATTTCCAGCCTTGTCTTAGCTGGTCATCTCCCAGCCTAACCAGCTAAGACCCGGCTGGAAATGGCCAAAACCCATTTAAAACCAGGCTGGTCGACCAGCTAAAACCAGCGAACTAGCCTAAGGTGTTTTTTCAGTAGGGTTCGACGGCATAATTGTGTATATAAAAGGAAAAGCAAACACAGAGAGTCTAAGAATTCTTTTGTATCAGGATTTACTTTCGTCATTAGCAATAATTAACCCCAAAAAAGCCAAAGCAAACTCTACCAGATACACTACCAGACTATGGTGTAAATACTACAACATACAAGAGAGAGATCAACTTAGAAAGTCATTTACCAGTTTTATAATGTTTTGGTCAAATGTAGGTTGAAATTATGCTGTTTTCTCCTCTAAGGGCTTATTATGTGGTCTCTGTCCCCATCTTGTGGCAGAACTACAACCGTCTTTTCTCTGCTTAGTATACGCTGCATCTCCTAAATCAGGGGTGTCAAACTCAATTCCTGGAGGGCCGAAGCCCTGCACAGTTTAGTTCCAACCCTGCTCCAACACACTTACCTGTAGGTTTCAAACAAGCCTGAAGGACTCAATTAGTTTGATCAGGTGTGTTTAATTAGGGTTGGAACTAAACTATGCAGAGCTGCGGCCCTTTTGGAACTGAGTTTGACACCTGTGTCCTAAATTATAAATATTTTAAAATACGCACTATCCGTTTAAATAAACTGCATAGTTGCAATCTAAACAACTACATTCTCACCTAAAAAAAATCCTCAAAGGTACATTGTTGTCCACCAGCTGCAATATTTGTCAAAATGTAGTAAGTTTATTGATCTGCTGTAACTCTGTGGACTAAGGCCCCATTTACACTAGTGCGTCTTAGTTTTAAAACATCGTTTTAGAATGAAAACGATCCGCATCCACATTAGCGTTTTATCCAGCGTTTCTGAGAAGCTCTCTGTCCACACCAAAACGCTGAAACGCACATCACTTGACCACACACACACTATCTACCCAGATAAGAGCTTTGCTTGTCGGACTGCTCAAGCATCTCCTGCTGGATCTAATCTCACTATATTTATTAAACGTGATATTTCATTCATCTTGTTGTCTACATCTAACGACATGTTCCCTGACGTTGGTCATTGGAATCTATTATTTGTTCTCAGGTAACGTGTTTTGGCTGAGTGCGAAGATAAGTTAATGATTATTGTAACCATGTAGCCTCTGTATATTGACTGATCGCTTGCCTTTATTTCCTATAATGTAGAAATTTATTGTATGTTATACTTTTATAATGCCCATTATCGATTATTAAAACTGATATTCAGCAAAAGAGAGGGTATGTTTAGTATTTTCACTGAAATTGAAAGGAGGCAGTTGTTATAGGCTCCGTTTTGTTGTAAATATCCACACAGTGAAGATGATTCTCATATATGCAGCACAACGCCTCAACATTTCTGCTGTCTGTTAAGTTGCGAATATCAAAATAAAATAGGCAGTTCCCTAAATTATGTTTTCATTTTATTGTTGAGAAAGTGAAACAACGTAGCCAGGATGATGTGAATAAGGTTATAAAGTACACTGTTCCCTTATGAAGATTTACCCCTGTCCTCGGAAGTCTGTTTTCCGTATCAAATTAAGGAGGGGGAGACTACAGCCTTGATCAAACTTGCAAAGTCTGAACTTGCAAGAAGAGGATGCAGGACTGAACTGTGTGTAACTTTAGGCTACTTAATATTTCGGAAAATCCCCAATCAGAGTGGCGAATGTCTGCTGCCCCGCCTCCGTTTTCAGATGTCTCCGTTTTCCCCCATCCACACTGAGCATAGCAGCAGCGTTTTAGAATGAAAACGGCCTCACCAGCGTTTTCAAAACGCTCCGTTTTCGGCGCTCGAAAACCCCGGCGTAGTGTGGTAGGATGGCGTAACCGTAGCAAAACTTATGCGTTTTAAAACGAAAACGCATTAGTGTAAACGGGGCCTAAGTAATACAGCAGGTGAGGAGGCTGTACAGGTTTTGATATTGCAGAATATTGCAGATTTAAGAACCTGACAGAATAAATATACACACTTTTCCCTGCTGTTTCACTGCAAACCTAAATGTATTTAGTAAATGTAAACAGACATTGATTTTGATGACTGCAGCACACTCCAAAATACTTGGCACAGAAGCAAAATAAAAGTTTAAAGGTTAAAGAATATCCAAATTTGACAGTTTTGAAATCTTTAGAAGTCTTAAATAAATGTAAACTGGTAATATAGGAGGATATCAAATGATTTAATTTTGTAGTTAAAAGGAAAGTTGACCTGACATAATGTTAAACATGTCTCTGTCCCAACAATTTAGGGTGGGTTGCAGCCATTAAAATCTAAACTTCTTTGTATAAAAAACAATCTATTTGCGCACAGAAAACATTGAAAATATTTTCTTTGTACGTTTGTCAATTAAATAAAGTTAAATAGAATCAGCAAAAGTCATATTCTTGATTTAAGGGGGTATATGCACACACTTAATTTCAGTCAGCCAGCCCCAGGGCTTCTGCTAAATTGTCATCTCATACAAAATCGCTGTGTTTAAGATCTGATTTCTTTAAAAAAACAGAGACCATCACTGCCTGGCTGAGATACGATTTTAAGTGTGCCTTAAATTAGATTTTTCCATGCCATGCCTTTAAAAATGGAAATTAATTTCACCCGAGTAATTTCAGTGGTGTTTTTGCACTAGCCTACTGTTAATGACGGAGTTTAAAAGGTCTTTCGTTACTTTTTACGTTTTAACAACTAAATGAATGCTGAAGTTAATGTAACTGAATGCATTGTAATTAGATAACAATGATGCTGTAAAAGGAACCTTATGAAATAGAAAATAGTCACAATAACATCTCACCGGAGTTCATCATTGGCTGAAAAACACTAGCTGTGCATGTAGCCCATTGTGTCATGTTTAGAATTGGCATTGTAAGGGCTTCTTTTATATACTACATCTTTATGATGGTGAAGTTGTGACATTCACCAGCAGAGGCTCCTAATATCCTATCAGTTTTTTTGTTGTTTTTTTTTTTGGCTCATGTTTTCTTTTCTTTGTTCTGCAGATGACCAAATTCGGCTCCGGCACTGATATTCCAGCACGGTTCATTGAGAGGAATATCATTATTAGAGGACGACTGAGAAATATCACAGAAAAAGGGCTTGAAGTGGAACACATTCCGATTTCTGTCCCTTTACTCAGTCGCCTGCTTGCTAAACGTAAGAACACACACAAGCCCTCATGTGCAGTGCTTCAGAAAGACCCCCGCACACTTTAATTAAATGTCCTACTGGTGGGCCTGTACATTTATTTCACAGCTGTCAGAGGGACCACTGTGTACATCTAAACAGCTGCTCTCAATTAAGTCTTCATCTTTAGAAGCACAAATCTCTTAGAAACAGCTTTTTATCACTCTTCATAATTGTGCTTCTGCTGTGTCAGAAAATGCGGAGAAGGGTTTTTCTTTCGCCGTCGTAGTGACTTTGAACTTGGATTGAAACCCATTGACTTATTAGAGAGTTCTCTCTCTTGTCGTCCTGTTGTTACGCTCCAAACATTGTAAAATGCAGATTCATCTGGTTTCAGTTAAATTAAACTGCTTTTGGTTTTGCAGCAACATTTGCAAATTTACAAGATTTTATTAAAGTCTTTTCAAATGAATCTCAGCAAACCATTCAATCAAAGTAATTGTATTACGAACCAGCCGTGCCTTCAAAATGAGTTTAGATGTGATTTAAATGTAACTTTTTTTTAACACTATACAATCATAGATCAAGTATCTGCATTGTAACGAGATTATGTGTGTCAGGGTCATTGTGATTCACAGATGGCTATGTTTAGCTTGGTCTCTTGGGATTCACACCATATGGACGTATATAACTTTCTCCTGTACCATCCACAGACTGATTCTTCTAGCATACATGGTATCTGCAGGGGTCCTAAAAAGCCTTATAATGTCTTAATTTTCAAAAACCAATTTTATAACTTAAAAAGTCTTAAATCCACTAAAATATTGTTTTGTAGATTTTAAATCATTTTAAACGGGTCTTAATTTTCCTGTCCATGTAAAGCTTTACTCAGTCGGGCCAACACCCATCCAATCACTTACAATATATGTCAATAAAAGTTTTAAGAAATTTTTATTTATTAACTTATTAATTCGTTTAATTTACTTATTAATGTGGTTTAATTATCTTCTTTACAATAACATTTATTTAAAATTTTTTATAAGGTCAAGACCATTTAAAAGTCTGTGTAAGTCTGAAATGTCATGACCTATCAGCAGTGCTAGACAGAATCTGTGGACATTTTTTGCTATTTCAAAATCTTCGGATTTATGCGGAATGATTTTGAGAGTATAGTAACTTAACACATGAAATAATACTTTTTATTTAAGGTCTGCTATGCATATCTAGTTAGAACCACATCTTTGGTAAACAAAGTCTCAAATAATATATCTACTTATAGACGGAAAATATTACTTTACAGACGTATTGTACATAAATCATATACATTTGCATATTACTACTGAAATCAATATGAAATCTGAATAAATATATATTTGTACACATGATTAAATGAATAGATTGAATGATGCTCAAAAGTGAAGATTTCTGCTTGTGCAGATTGAGTATGGGCCTTCCTATTAGTTTTGTTCACATATTGGTGAACAAGAAATATTTTACTCAAAAATGTAAATAAAAAAAACTACATAATTTACTCTTAAGTCATTCTTGTTATATACACTACTGTACACACCAAGGCTGCATTCATTTATTCATTTTCTTTTTGGCTTAGTCCCTTTATTAATCTGGGGTCGCCACAGCTGAATTAACCGCCAACTTATCCAGCATCTGTGTTACGCAGCAGATGCCCTTCCAGCTGCAACCCATCACTGGGAAAGGGCTGCATTTGTTAAATTAAAAATAGAAGTACAAATTGCACAATTGTGAAATGTTGTTCCATTATAAAATTAATAACATTTCTTTCAATCATTTATTTCACTGATTTTAAAGAGGAATTTTCAGCTTTAATACTCCAATTTTCAGTCACATGATCCTCAAGAAATCACTCCTAATAATAATAATAATAATTATTATTATTATTATTATAATTATAATTATTATTATTAATGGTAATGGTAATAAAAGCCGTAATGACTGGAGTAATAATATAATTTGACTCTACATACATTAAGAAGGCAAATATTTAAAATTGTAATAAAAATTTAACAACTTTCTTACATTTAATAAATTCCACCTTGATGAACGGAATAATCAAACATTCAGTTCATTTAAATTTCAATTCACCTTTATTTCTGTAGTGCTTTTACAATGTAGATGTGTCTAAGCAGCTTCACATAGAAAATCATAGTAAATTTAAATAGTGTCAGTCTAGTTTTTTAGAGTTTAAGTTCAGTTAAGTTCAGCTCAGTTCAGTGTGGTTTTATAATCACTACTGAGAGACCAAATGCTTAAGAGCAAATCCATCGATGCGCAGCTCTACAGATCCTGAACCATGCAAGCTGGTGGCGACAGCTGCGAGGAAAAAAACTTCACCAATTGGCGAAAGTGCAGAATTAAAAAACCTCTGGCCAAACGTCCTGTGCATGAAAAAACTGACCTCAAACTTTTGACCAGTAGTGCATTTAATTAACTTTTTCTGTCAAACAAACACAGTCAGAGTGGTTAAAAATGTTTATCCTGACTCTTCCATGCTCTTTAATGGTGTTGGATAATGGCTTTTATTTTGAAGCTTTTAAATGCGCATAAATCCTTCGTAAAACTACCACATAAGCCACCAGGGGGTTAATGCTCATCTTATAAAGTGGATTGATGTGTTTTTGTATTATGGTACTTTTTATATTCCTTTTTCTGCACAGCACTTTGGTTCTGTGTGTGGTGTAAAAACTGCTATATAAATTAATTGAAATTGATTTGAAAAGGGTAACAAAAATAATTCACATTTTTACAGTCATTGATTTCTGGCAGCATTATGCACGACTGATGTATACAGTGTGTGACACATGACATAAGATGCATATGTAGCAGAAGCTCAAGAAGTAGTTGTATCTTTTGGGAACCACTTACCATAACGTTTCTTTTCCACAGAAAGTAGTGATGAACAAGAAAACAAGTTGGCTTGATGTAAAATTATAATCTTATTCAGAATAATGTTTTTTAATGTGTCTGATATGGTAGTCGCACATAACTTGCAATCCGCCGACACCAGAAGTCAGTGATTGGAATTTATTATTTTAAGAGCCCCTATTATGGGTTTTTGAAAATGACCTTCTATTCAATGTGTACCACAGCTCTAAGTGAAGTGAAATCTCCAGCTAAGGATTACATCTGAAAGTGTGCCGTGTTTAAAACTATTGATTCATCTATAAAAGAGTCGACTCATACTGGTTCCAATGAATCGCCGCGTTAACGAGTCTTTAGCCGTGCCATTGTGACATCGCTAAGGAACTCAACCCCCTGCCCATTGTTGCACGCTCAGACCCAGGAAAATAGAGGCTGTTTCTCAATATGCGTTCTTCAGCGGCCTTGCGGCCTTGTGTTCTCGTGTAACGTCAGAACAGAGGACGTGTGAAACTTCCCGGATGTGTTCTTGATATCAATTCTTCCTGTCTCACCCTGAACACAGTCGACCAATCACAACTAACTATAGGTTATCCGACTAATCAGTGCATACTGTAGATACTCTGTGTGACAGAAAAAAAAACGTCATTCACACCAATGATGGCTTCAGGTTGAATTATTCTTTAAACACATAAAACAGACCTTTCTTTACATTGGTTAAAAAACCTCAATGCTTAATGTCGGCTCCGTAAGCTACTTTCCCATCATAAAAGAGCACTTTGAAAAAGAGTCTTGTTGATCTAGAGGTTTTAAAGGGTCGTTGGGCTTGACTTCGGCAGGTCAGACTGAAGCCCTCCTGGATGTGCGTTTGGCTGGGGTGGAGTTGACCTCTGAAGGGCACCACTGGATCGGTCAACAGCTGAGACCCGCTGAGACAGTTTGGCTCCGACTGATCGCTCGACAGAACGAGACCCTTCACTGCCTAGTGTCAGTTAACAAGGTGGGTGAGATATACCAGATTAGCACAGGGTCAGAGGCCACAGTTGAAGCGTTAGCTTGACAAATGTAAGGCTGTGAAGTATTGGAAAAGGATTCTTTAGGTTTACAACTTTTTACGTTTACAACTGCCAGACCTCCGTTGTCCACAACAATATTTGAAGACCCCATGATTCCTCTAGATGTTTCTGATGCACTACATTTACTTGCAAATTTTTTTCAGACTGTTCTATCTATCTATCTATCTATCTATCTATCTATCTATCTATCTATCTATCTATCTATCTATCTATCTATCTATCTATCTATCTATCTATCCATCCATCCATCCATCCATCCATCCATCCATCCATCCATCCATCCATCCATCCATCCATCCATCCATCCATCCATCCATCCATCCATCCATTTATCCATCCTTTTTCAAACTTTTATTCTATCTATCTATCTATCTATCTATCTATCTATCTATCTATCTATCTATCTATCTATCTATCTATCTATCTATCTATCTATCTATCCATCCATCCATCCATCCATCCATCCATCCATCCATCCATCCATCCATCCATCCATCCATCCATCCATACATACATACATACATCCATAAATATATACATACATAAACTCTTTAGATATTTTTTTATCTTTAGCATTTTAATTGATAAATGTTTGAAGTAATTATTTGTAATTTAATTACCATTAAATAATTGAAAGCTTGGCAAAAATGATTTACATTACTTTTAAAAATGGGCAAGTATAATATTTACTTATTTATGTGAGTATAATATATCTTTATGGAACATGATCTTTTCTCAATATTCAAATGATTTTTGGCATAAAATAAAATTGATCAAATTTGAAAAATTAAGGGGAACCAAATAATATCGTGTAAGACTTGTAATCATTTAAATTTGATTATTATAAAAAATAATTTTTGCAATAGATGAATAACTCTATTTAACCCACTTAATCCCCCTGACTGTGTTTTCTAGGGGTCCCTCTTTAACACTTGTGTAAATGAGGAACTTTTAAGGCTTGGTTTGGCTAGGACGTCTCCTCTTGTGGTTCTGGACCCTCACTCTCAGATTTACTGGAGTCTCTATAAGCGCTTACTTCGCGCTGAAAGCAAAGCTGAGAAAAAAGGAAAAGGCCTTTGGAAGGAAGAGAGTCGCTGGGAGAGATTTACTGATGTCTTGAGGAACAATATGCTGCTTGTCTCACTTAAGAAACTCTTCAAATGGAGATCTGGTACTAAAGAAAAGTGAAACATTCCATTTTCCATGTTGGTGATTTGTTTGATGTTATTAAATATTTACTTTAAATCAGACTGATCTCAGACATAATTTCAAGAATTAAGGGAGGGAGCACGATTAAACATGTCCATCCGAGAATGTAAATGTCCATGTGTTATTCTGCTTACTGACACTTGTAAAGAATCTCCCCTTCGTGTCTTGCTCATGAAGACAGACTGTCTTTACCCCTGCTGTAATGGTTGTAGCATTCTATAATCCATCACGTTATTCATGCTGTCCTACACCTGTAGTGTCGGACCCTGTCATCATACTCCTGACAACCGGAAAGCCTTTGTACTCTGCCCTCCTCCCATAAATCCATATCCTACAGACCTCTCGGTTTTCTCTTTCCCTGGGGAGATGGGGGAGTGCTTTGTCATGATGACATGGCAGTGGGGGTCTACCAATGCCCCTGTGGAGATCCCCATTACTATAGAAACATCACAGTCTGAAGACAAAGTGTATCAGGGGGGCATTTCTCAGGGTCCTAAAAGCCATAGTGCTTGTAGAGCACACAACAGAGACTACGAGAGGGGGGAAATGCTTGAATACAATAACTATTGTAGTTCAGAACATTGTTTTCAACTAATATTATGTGGGGTCTAAAAAACTCAAAAATGCAAAAATAATTTAATTATTAAAAATGTTACATCATGCATGTGAATTGTAAATTGGTATTCAGAACGTTGTAGAATCTATGCAGATGCTATTTTTCTCTACTAAGTAGAGCCAACTTAATAGTTTTAGTCATTTTCACCTATCTATGTGACTAGGGAGGAGAAACACAAGAGAAAAGTTTTTCCAGTTGTGTACATTGCTGTGGTGTAAATGTACTCTGTGTTTGCTTACATTGTCTGTAAAAAAACACAGCATTCCAAAAAAACATTTTATTTGTTTCACATGATTTTATTGCGATTTCATGAGGGAAAATAAAGATAACTGAAGCACATTTTATCACAATTGCTTTTTTTAACTTACAACATTTATTTAATTTAGTTTAATGTGTGTTACGCCTGGTTTATACTTGTGCCTTGTGCGTTGTCATGCATTTATACTTCTGCATTCTATTTGTGTTGCTCTGCAATAACACTTCTTAAATGCTAGCTGGGGTCCGTTCTTCGTACCTCGCTTAAATGATCTAAGATTATTTGGCAGATCCTGGATCTTTTCATCTTGATAACTGATCTCTCGCTAATTTGGTTCTTCAAACAAGTTCGCGAATCAGATTAGACTGTCTGTATAAACTGATCTGAGATCGCTGCGTCTGTTGTGAAGGACAGGTCTATCGATCCTCGAAATCATGATCAGCAATGCAACGATTGGCTGACGGCACAACTGCGTAATGACATCATCTGATTAATATTCAATTATCCATGTGAGCTAAATTACATCAAATTAGCTGTAAACGGCTTGTTAAATATGACACGCAATAACCTTCAACATTTGTTGTGAGCTGCAGGCTTTACACTGTCATGTGTCAAGAGTATTCATCATGTATTACAATGCAAATCAATGTATTTAGTTCCACATTTAGAAAAGATTTTCTTTATTATAGTTTTTTAATCGGTGTAAAGAATTACTGGTTGTTTACAAAAGCATTTTCATATTGGTAAAGGCGTCTGCAACTTTTGTGAAGCATCAAATCACCAGCATATTAACTATCAAAACATGTTTATGACTGCTGAAATGTATTATTGCTTTTAAAAAGTCACATATTGTGCATTTCTATTATAAACAATTTGTACTAAAGCGATCTAAAAAGTTCATATCAATAAGTTTTCTCTTTGCACCACCAGGTGGCAGTCTTTGTACTTTCATTTCGAGGGTGCAGATTGCATACGTTTTATTAATATGTATAACTTAATTTATTTTATTAATGACTATAACTTTGTATATATAGTTTAAAAATATGTACCATTTTCCCAAGTGTATATAACTACTACTGTAAGAAAATATCAGAATTCCGAACATACTTTCTGTATTATCTTTGCATGCACTGAGCCGATCTAATCCTGTTTATATGAATTGAACCTGCTCCCGATCAGGTTTGACCTAGCAGAACTGTTGCTATGACAACAGCTCTCGGATCAGCTTTGAAGAACGAAACAATCCTGGATCATGTCAAATCGTCAATATCCAAATCCAGCTTACTGAGTAATCCACGTACGAAAAACGGACCCCTGGCAGTAAGGTTTTTATGTTCCTCTATATCAAGTTTCTTCGCTGGTGTTTTTTTTTTTTTTAACGCTACCTTAATGTAGAAGTAGCTCAAACACGCAAATGTGCAACAGCTTTAATCATAAGGTACACAAAAAACAAAACTTTCCATCTGGACCTCCTTCATGGGACCTGATACTTGTAAACACTCGCTCCAATGGGTTCACGCAGCTCTCGGTCCCGCCCAGACTAGTCAGCACTACCAAGCTGACCAATCACAGAGCTTGCACTATGCGTTGTTGCGTTGTGTAGTAAAATTGTTTTGATCATCAGCGATGTGTGCATCAGCGACGGCCATGGCAACGGCCATGCAACCACATGCAGGCTGGACCAGAGCATACATGTGCTCTTGATGCAGAAGTATAAATCCGCCTCGTGAGTTTTACTCACAATTGTTTATTGTCTAGATGGATAAAAAAGTATATATATTTTCCAAAGTATTTATTTTCCAAATATAATTGAAATGTTATCAGTGGACGACACAGGGTTGGCTCAGTGGTTAGCACTGTCACCTCACAGCACCCCACAGGTTGTTGGTTTCGACTGGGTCAGTTGGAATTTCTGTGTGGAGGTTACATGTTCTCCATGTGTTTATGTGGGTTTCCTCTAAGTGCTCTGGTTTCCCCCACAGTCCAAAGGCATGCACTATAGGTGTATTGAATAAGCTACATTGGGTGTAGTGTATCATTCATTCATTTTCTTTTCGGCTTAGTTCCTTTTATTAATCAGGGGTCGCCACAGCGGAATAAAACGCCAACTTATCCAGCAAATGTTTTACGCCGCAAATGCCCTTCCAGCCACAACCCAACACTGGGGAACACCTATGCACACTCTTCCAAACACATACACTATAAACAATTTAGCTTATCCAATTCACTTATACCGCATGTCTTTGGACTTCCGGAGCGTCTGGAGCAAACCCACACGGATAACTTCTCCACACAGAAATGCCAACGGCCAGTGACCTTCTTGCTGTAAGGCGATCGTGCTACCCACTGCACCACCATGCTGCCTCATGTTGGTGATCTGACAATGCATTTTTAAAAGCAATAATTTAGATTATTAGTTATTTTTACTTTTTTTCATTTTCCCCAAAATGACAAAGGGTAAACAAGCAAACTTGCAGAGAAGGTGTAGTCTTGTTAGTCTTTAAACAAACTTAAGTAACATCCCCCTCGTGGGTTTTCTCAACAGTGAGAGTGCAGCGGTTTTGTTTTCGCCTCAGTTCTCAGTGGCAATAGTCTATCTACTCTAATGGGCACAAGGGTGGGGGAGTGACCAGGGAAGTTTCCTGCCCCCTCCATTCGGCCTTTGTTGTGCAAATGTCCCTTTCGACTATGGCAGAGATGCTGGACTCTTATTGGACAGACGGTTTGAATTGTAAGGTGCATTGGGTCTGAGTGTAGACTTTGAACTGGGAGTAACACAGACAAGACCTGTGGAAACTGTGGAAGGACTGATGAGTGAGAGATGTGTGTGTGTGTTCACGTGGAGAGAGAGTGAGAGAGAGAACCGAGCTTCTCTCTCCTCACTGTATCAAATTCTATGCTTAGAATTTTGAACTCCTAAATTGATGTCGCTACTTTTCTGTTTTTTTAGTTATTGTTACAATATTGATGTTATTTTAAGTTATTCTATTATTTAGTGTGTTCAAAAATAGAGCAAACCCAACAAGCAATACTTTTTAGGCTGTAGTCTATTTTACCTTTTTAAAATGTGTTATGCATTATTATTACAAAGTTTTATTTGTTTCAAGAATTTATTTATTCATATTTAATTTCTTTTGTGTTTTTTTTCTTTTTTTAAATCTATCTATCTATCTATCTATCTATCTATCTATCTATCTATCTATCTATCTATCTATCTATCTATCTATCTATCTATCTATCATTTGTATTTATACATATAACTTGGCTTTTAAATGAAAGTCTACATAATTAGATTTTTTAAATGTTAGGATTAAAAACATGTCATTAAAATTATTTCAGGAATCAATTACTATTATTCTCAAAGAAAACGAACAAACGGTCTAATTCAAGAATAAGCTATCAACTGTTTAATTATACCCTGCGTTTTGTTCATCATCCGTCAATCCGTTCCTAAATGTCCTCTCCTGGTTTTTGCGGCTGCTCTTCTCTGCTCGGGTCACTTACCAGTCCGGAGGTTTTGAATGAGAGCGGACACTTACGGTTGAGTTAAACAGTAAACACTGCTTTACAAGGAAGGAGAATCTTGGAGTCGCGTGTGTAGAGAAAAATAGCCCACATACATGATGAAAAGTGTCGAGGCTGACTTTGTAAACAAAGTGGATTTATAAGCAAACTCTTGAGTCAGAGGAACTGAAGTAAGTGATTTGTCTCTGTTCTTTGTTGAGAGCAGGTGCACGTTATGAACGATACTCAGACGAAGTAGTTTCACTTTTTCCCTCTTTCTTTTAGGATTAACATTTCTGCTCAATTATGAAATGTGTCAGTGAACTTTCATGCTGCTATCATGAAAAAAGTTACATCTGTCTATCTATATATTATATTTAATCTATTACACCACATTATTGTAGCTACTACTGACAGTCTGTACGCTTTAGGTTTAGTATTAGTTTTAATTCTAATAATTCTTCAATTCTTATATATATATATATATATATATATATATATATATATATATATATATATATATATATATATATATATATATATATATGCACACACAGTTTAAGTCAGAATTATTTTCCCTTTTTCACATTTTTTTCTTGTTTTTTAAATATTTCCCAAATGGTACTTAACAGAGCAAGGACATTTTCACAGCATGTCTGATAATATGTTTTTCTTCTGGAGAAAGTCTTATTTGTTTTATTTAGGCTAGAATAGAAGCAGTTTTACATTTTTTAAACACCATTTTAGGGGCAAAATTATTAGCCCCTTTAAGCTATATATTTTTTTTCAATAGTCTACAGAACAAACCATCATTTCCAGCAGATGAAATAATTTTGAATGATTTACACCAAGAAAGAGTTTTACATGCATTATAACTGTTAAAGTATTTTAAGGAGTTCACTTATAAACCAAAGTCATTTCTGAAAATAAAAAGTAAGGGTGTTTCTTTGAAAATTTACATTTATGAATGTAAAATTTAGCCAGGGTGAAGCAATGGTGCAGTAGGTAGTGTTGTCGCCTCACAGCAAGAAGGTCGCTTGTTCGAGCCTTGGCTGGGTCAGCTGGCGTTTCTGTGTGGAGTTTTCATGTTCTCTCTGCGTCCATTTGGGTTTCCCCCTCTGGGTGCTCCGGTTTCCCTCACAGTCCAAAGATAAAAAATGTACTGGATAAGTTAGTGGTTCATTCCGCTGGGGCGACCCCAGATAAATAAAAGTACTAAGCTGAAAAGAAAATGATTGAATGAATGAATAAATAATATTTAGCCAAAAAATAAAAAATAAATAAATTTACTATCACAATCTAAGTTCAAAGTGTAACCAAAGAATACAGTTTTTGGGGAAATACAAAAGTATGGAAATAAGAATTTTTTTTATGAAATTAGAAAAGTCAACCCAAAACACTTTACAGTAAGTGCACTCCCAGAATAAATGATTTAGTGTTTTATTATATTGAGTACAAAATAAGCTTCTAGGGGAAATATTGTTATTAAATTGATGATATTAAATATTTATATATAGAAAGAGAGAGCGAGACAAGCTATACAATGTATGACACAACATTTATTTTACTAGTGGTAGTCTGCAT